AAGGGCCCTAGCAGGCGGGGCCCAGCCAGGACAAAAGGAAGTCCCACAAAGCGCCTACACCGGCCGCATTTGCGGTCGGGGTAGACGACGGATGCGGTCCACCTACGAAGGCTGTCCAGGCCTACACGAGATGAGGCAGGATAAAGAGGGATAATCCCCCTCGATCCCAAATCATCGGGGCCAATTTCTAGCCATGGAATAATGGCGCGCGCGCGCGTAGCGCGATTAGCCAGGAACGGACAGTATAGCGAGTGACAAAACTGATTAAAATAAAAATAATCGCTTTTATTTAAATTAACCAATCAGACCATATCAAACCACAATTCACAAATTCGTGATATGAACGTGTTTAGAAACAACCACTTTACTTTGAGGCATCGAGGCTCCCGATATGCGCGCTTTTCTTGATTTTCAATAATAAAAAAAAGGTCAGGTTAGGTTTTTCTGTGTGTAAAACCCCGGTATACCAAATTTCATAAAAATATTCTCACCGTTTAGAAATTTTCGTAAAAATTCATTTTTTAAAATGTTATTTTGTCGCTCTGTATCTTGAAAACAAGAGGAGATAGACATATAATTCATAAGGCAAAAATCCCCTCTGAATTTACTGGAGGTCTTTCTGAATCACTCTGCATAAAAACAGTAATATTAAAATATTTATAACCAAATAATTCTAATAATTTAATTATAAATATTTTAATATTCATGTTCTTATTTTTTAATTTTAACACTTGGCATCTCTTTACAAAGCCGTTTATGCTTCGCCGTGGATAATTTCCGGACAAATGTTTATTTTCAAATTGTTTTGCTGAGAAATTGTATACGTTCCAAAGTAACCACTTCAACAACAAAAACATCGTGTGTGTGGTAACGCTCCAATATTTTAGGTAGTTAGATATTTTCTTTAATATCGCGGAGCATGGATAAATTCTAAAATTGTTGAACTAGTAAGAACCACAAAGTCTGAACACCGGTTTGTAAAATGGACTTGAAAATGAAAATCTTCAGTAACCATGTCAGTTAAACGTGAAGTTCTTGGCAGCACTGCTTTTGCAGTCAGCTACTTACACAAGGTTTGCTAATAAAACGTAGGTATAATATTAGAAAGGATTGATTTACCTAATCTTCAAAAGCGAAGAAGGTTTGTTGAACAAACAGGCTAGTAAATCAATCCAATTCCTGTGAAATGGATTTTACAGTATTTTTTACATTTTGAGGATGCAAAAAAGGCCGGTGGATCTTTATCTTAAATGTAAGAAATTCTATTAATTACAAAAGTTCTACATTTTGGAGAGGCGATTTAATAACAAGATATCAAGGGTCGCGCCAATACCTTGGGCAGGAAAAATGGTCTTGGATGGGGCTATGTTGAAAGGGATTATCGCTCTTTGCCCGCGCCATCTCTGTAGGCCCGGATGCTTAGTGGAAGTTCGTGGGGCCTCCTTCAGTCCTGGCTGATCGAGGAGTCAGACCATGTCGTCTCTAATCATGGAGTCACAGTTGCTTCAGTCGTCGATGTTGTTGTTACCGTCGTTTTCGAATTTGACCTTTAGAGAGGGAAAAAAGCCTGTGATTAAGTTGCAGCAGTACTGTATACAAGGTGTTAACGAAATAATTACTCAAAATTGAAGAGTATGTAAAACATGTCGAAATATGATGAAAACCTTAGTACAGTTTTGTCAGTGGCGACCCCTAAAGGAGATTCGGCCTCTTGAAGAGGTAATTCAGGAAACAGTTTTTATTTCATAACTTCAAAACGGTTTAATATTAAATCACGAAATTTTGGGGTTGTTGGTTATTTATATGCTTAATAATCGGTATAATATATAAATCAAAATTTGCTACAGGGCCCTAAGAAAATTCGAGGTTATGGAGCAAATTTTACATTTTTTTTTATGCAATTTTTTCTACTTCCTGAACCCAAAATATGAAAATTTATCATATTTTGCTTAAAAAAGGTACTCTCGTTAGATTTTAAGAGCATGAGCCGTTTTCTAGTAAAATCTATTTCAATAATTCATTACTTGCTCAAAAATTCGGACTGTAAAATAAATGTATCAAATTGTGCCATGAGAAAATTACTACTTTTATTTCATTTTCCGTTTGTACTATTATTATTATCGTTACTGTAGTAGTTATTGTAACTGTTACTAAATCAGGGTTTAATAACACAGTGAAGTAGATAGTTTTGTAATAAACAGTAACATAAATAATTTTGAATAATAAAATGTTATTACTCTTGTTATTTTTATTTGAAAATAAAAAAAATATAAGAAAAGACCCATGAAACATAACATTTTTATTGTAAATGTAGTTTCACCGTAGAAGACAATATTGCATTATGGGCTAATTCAGACACGGCGGAAACCGCGCGGATTTAAACCGCACCGCACGGATTATACCGTTTTCGAATTCGTTCAGACATACCCGCCGCGGATAGGTGATCTGCGCGGATTCCTCTGTATCTAAACTATACTCCATGGTCGAAATTATAGAGAGTGATTCATCGCTAGCTTTTGGACTAGTAAGGGGGATGAAGCGTGCCGGGAACGAAAATCCATTGACGTGTCTGCGTAAAAGGCAACAAGATATAGAAAATAATGAAAACAGATAATAAAACATAACATCTAATATTTTTTACGGTTTGCTATAAC